AGGATGGGACGTCCCACAGCTTGCGCCGCCAAAAGTGGGACCTCCCACGAGGATTTTGCAAAGGATGGGACGTCCCGCAGCTTGCGCCGCCAAAAGTGGGACCTCCCACATGAATTACTTTGGGATAATTAGAAGTAACACATTGATAAGTTGTAATGAGCACCTCGGTAGGATGGTGTTGATGTTTTGAATAAATTGCAGGGAGAGCACACCAGTAGGGATACATAGATTTAATTAAAAGGATACAAAACACTGGGAGCGAGTACGCACACTGGAAGGATGCATATATTAAAAGATCCAAACCACTGGAGTTTTTTTCAATAACGCTAAGAAGTATGCGCACAATAAAGGAATAGGTATATGAGGGGAAAAAAATCAAATCACAGGAATTTTTTTCCATTGTATACAGTGAAGGGATACATATACAAAAGAATCGAAAACACTGGCAACTTTTTCAATAACGCTGGGGAATATGTGCATAATGAAAGGATACATATATAAAAGAATCTGAAACTTTTTCGATAGCACTGGGGAATACATACACAGTGAAGCGTGGGTATTTTGAATACCCTGGTGGGTACGCATGCTGCATCGCCTGATGCATAACGCTGGTGCACCCATGCAACCAAGAGGCATGACCCAGAATGTATGCAGGGGTACGCAGAGATTTTTTTTTTTTGGGTGGGAAGGACCCCAGCCACCCCTGTGTGACGTGACACAAATGGGATGTCCCAGACGCTGTGGGATGTCCCAGGTAAATTTTTCGGGCCCGCCTTCAGCGGGCTGGGACATCCCAGTATTGATGGGTGGGAGCCCCCACATAGTAAACGCCAAGACAAATGGGACATCCCACGCGAGTGGGGGCCCCACTCTGAAACCCCCCCCCTTGGGCCAGTCATTCTCCATGAAAAGTTAGGCCCTAACGGGTGCTCACCAGGGTAGCCTGAAGTGCATCCTCGGCCGTGACGATCCCGATACCGGGCAAGTCTATCCTCAAAAAACCGCCGCCCGTGCAGGCCTCGCTCTTCTCGCGCCTCAGCCTCAGCCGCTTCCTCCTGGGGCAGGAGACTGCTGGCGCCTCGAACGCTGCTGCTGGACTGAAGGATGGGAAGGATGGGGGCAGCGGGAGTGGGAAGGACAAGGAGAAAGACGAGTCTGCCCGAGTGCTGAAGCGAGTGCACTATCCTGCCGGAGATGGCGGTGGTGTACCCGATCTCGTCGCTCGCGCCACCATCGACGCCGACGCTGCGCGACGAGAAGCGGGCAATCGAAGAGCGGGAGCGGGAGCGCTGCCGCCGCGTCGTGCGGGCGGGGAGTACCGGGACGAGTACGGACAGCGCGAGCGTCCTGACGGCGAGCACGGGGAGCGTCGAGGACGCGGAGACGTGGTGGGCGATGGACAAGGTCGAGAGCTTCTACAGCGAGTGCTGCGAGGGCTGCCAGGAGGTCCCCGATAAGGGCATCACCGCTGCATTCAAGGTACTTTTTTTTATACCTTTTTTTCTTACTTGCAGAGCGAGGCACTCACCCGATGGACAGGCGACACCACCGACGCATCCGCGCAGCGTGGAATTTTCTGGGGTGCAGCTGACGTTTGCGAGCGCATCGATTCTGGCGGATGTGCTCAGCATCGAGTGGGGCCTACGCAAAGCCGTGTTCCGCGAGTGCGATCTCGACGACTTGGTGAGCCCCGTTTTCTTGCCACCCTTGCGGGCTTTTTTCGTGTCTATTGCTGAGCCCACCGTCCACGATGCCTCGATTGATCTCCCATCATGCGCATGCGTCGGCGCACGACCACCGCTTCCTGCTCCCTCCCTCCCCGATACCCCGCCCATCCAACCCCTTGCCCGCATACACTAACAACCCCTCAGACCGTCAAGCCCCTCCTCCAGGCGCTCCTCATCCCACGCTCGCTCTCCTACCTCTCGCTCTTGCACACACGGCCACTTCCCCGCAGCGCCTCACACACCCCGTCCTGTGCAACGCCGTCATGGTCTCGCCCACCTCTCGCCTTGCATCACCCGTCCTTGCACCCTCACGCCCGCCGGTCATCCTCTCCAACGATGACGGCCTCACCTCACTGCGCGAGACGAAGGCGCTGGGCGTGCGTCGCAGTTCCTCGCTCATGACTTTCACACTCACATTAACAGTGTAATTCCGTACCGCCTTGCCGCCTGCATCCACTCTCGCCCGCCCGCCGGTGCGCGTCGAAGCCGCACACGCTCCGCAGCCGCGAATCCGCGCCTCGCACGGTGTGTGCGGCTACGCTCCGCGCCACTACGTTCGACTACCCTTTCCCAAGACACTACACGCATGTACGCCTCAAACTCGGCGGCGCGCATGGCTAGACTACACGCTCATACGCTCAACTAAGGCGGCCTACTGCGCGCCAGCACGCTATCCACTCAAGACATTATCTACGTCTGCGGCTTCGGTGCGTCGCAGTTCCTCGCTTAAGTGCCCCCGCGTCCGCCTAGTGGTCCACGTCGAAGCCGCAAATCCGTGCCTCGCACGGCCTGTGCGGCTACGCTTTGCGCCACTACGCTCGACTACCACTTCCCAAGACACTACACGCATCTACGGCTACAACTCGGTGGCGCCTACACTGCCAAGAAGCGATCCACGGCAACTCACTCACAAACTCGGCCTATCTGCTCGGCCGCACTACTCTACGTCTACGGCTACAACTCGAGACGCTATCTACGGCTAGCGCGACTATACATATCATTCCACGAGCCCAAGTGCCGTGCCCGCGCCACTTTTCTCGCTCGTCACCGTACAGTACCCGCCCACTCAAACGCGCCGTACCCGCCCGCTTAAACGCGCCGCCCGCTTAAACGCGCCGTACCCGCCCGTTTAAACGCGCCGTACCCGCCCTCCACCGCGCCGCCGCACCACCCTCCGACTCTGCACAACGCGCTGAATCAAAAATTGGATGTAATACTTACCTCCCTTGCAATCGCACTCGTGTCCCGGCGCTACTCGGTTTTGTGCTCGTGTCGAACGCTTCCGAGACCGCCTTTGAATTCGAGCCGCCATCGCGATGTTATAAATGTATGAATCAAAGTGAGTCAAGCTCGCATGTCGGAGATTCGAATCCCACCCTCGCGCAGAGTATATGAACCCCACGGATCAATAATATCAATGATATGAGCCGAGATCTACCTTCCGCGCGGGTGAGGTCTAAGAGAAAGATCGGCCTGCGGGTCAGCCACGTACTTGGCCACGGATCTAACGCTCAACCCGAGTCGTAGGTAGGAAGATCCGAATAAAACAGGTCGGCCTGGTGCTAGAGAAAGAAAGAAAGGGGAGCTGAGAGGTGCGTGGATGGTGGACTTGACATGCACTGAGTGGTGGAGAGGCGTACAGGCGAATGGGCGTTGGTGTATACGACTCGGACTGCGAGCAGCAAATCTGCGATAGATGAACTCGAGTCGGCTGTCAATCAATGCCCGCCTCGGTTTTCGATGCGTTTTCCGAGCACCCAGCGCATCACAGAATCGATTTTTTCCACAGAGGTGCGTCTTAACTCTACTCGCAATGAACGCGATTTTGACGCGTTTTCCCAGCCCTCAAAGTTCAAAATTTCCTCCGCTGCACAGTGCTCGATTCCGACAACATCCACTTCGATAACCCTTCAAGGATCCGATTTTTACTCCGCTGCCCGGCGCTGTTCTAAGAGGTCGGCTAAAGGTGAGTAAATTGTTGTTCCCTTCCCCTTCCATTTCCGCGCTAACTTGACGCTAGTTATTCAGATTTCCTTGCGCTGCACGAGCCGTAGAATCAAGACCGGAGTTGGACACGGTGCGTTCGGGCGTTTATCGCCTACATTTCTGTTCTAACCTCAGCCTACATTTCAAATTTGCTTCTGCTGCGCGCCCCCCCCCCCCCCCCCCCCAGTCGTTTGCTTGCAATGGACGCGCTTTCGACGCGTTTTTCAACCTCAATACCCGTGGTCGTATCGGAAATGATGAGTTTGGTTGAAATTGTCGCGGAAATTCGCTTACGGACGCGTTAGATTCGTTGGAAAGTGGTCTGTTGAACCAGTTATAGATTCATTAGAAAGCGACCTGTTGAACCACTTATGTATCATTATAATATTAGAGTATTTATAGTCCTTGAAGTAGCCCGAACGAAGCGGCAAACCGGTGTCTCGCACTCACCAGAAGCCCAAATTTTCTCCCCCGTGACCGAGTGCAAATATTTGTGAGGTGCGTGCGTGCGTCGTAATCTATAAAGTTGCAGGGTCAGGGCTCTGGGCAGGAGATTTGGCCACGGGTGACTGAGCCAAGGGGGGGAGCCAGGGGGTGCCGTTGAGTGATGCATTAGTCCCATTACGCGCGTTCCTGGGAAACACAATCAAGTGCTTACATTTTTGCGGACCTTGCACGACTGAAAGTAGGCGAGGGTCCGTGCATCACCGATCCATTCATCCTCAATGCAACCTTAACTTACACAGACTTTATTTTCGCCAGGGTCTAACAAGAAAAGGAAAAACCCCTAGTCAGCTTCTCCGGTCCATAATGACTGCGGTGCTCCAGGAGATAGATGTATACATGCCTTCCTTGACCGAGGCCTTGATTTAGGCCCACTGTTTAGGCCGATGGAAAAAAGAAAAAAGAACTCTCTCGTTGATGAATGGCTCAGGCCCGAATCAAACGGGCTTCTCCTGCTTTGAGCTTCCTTGCTGCGGTATTGAAAGTAGGCGTGGCACCATCCATCCACCACCGAGCTTTTCCTGCGTTCAATTTAGCCTCAACCCGTACCGCATGTCTTTCCCACTGATTCAACTTTAAATCCCGTCCATCTCAGCAGAACTAAAAAATGGGCCGGAATCAGGGACCTTGTATGACTGAGAGTAGGCGCTACCCATCCGGTCCCCCTTACTTTACGCAGTATTTTATTGCACCTCCCTAACAGAGCCTTCCCTTCTCTCAAGCCAGCCTTGATTAGCACCATTGTTTCGGCAGATGAAAAAAAGAGTGCTGTGTACCAATGCATGGCTCAGGCCCGGATCGAACTGGCTCCTCCTGCGTCAATGACTCAATGCACAGGACGATTCATGAAATGCAGATGTGAACCATCCACCACCAAGCCTTCCTTGCTTTGAATGCAACCTTGATTAGTGTAGATTCTAATACCCTTTTGAGTTACGGTTCATAAAATAAATAAATAAAAAGAGAAACATCACTGCGATTGTTGGGAGCGCTCACTTGGACCAGAGGAGCAGTAGAATTATATAATGACCGCACGCCTGGTTTTAAATTTCGCAGGCGACAGCTGAAAAAAATATACTGAACCCAACGAACGGCTCGGGCCCAAATCGAACAGGCTCCTCCTGCGTCGATGCAAAGCTGGTCCAAGAAATGCAGGTGTGGACCATCCACCTTCCTTGCTTTGGACGCACGCTTGATTAGTGTGAATATTTTTGAGTTATGGTTCATAAATTTAAACAAGAAAAGAAAGGAAAGAAAGAAACATGGCAGTGGTTGTTGTGAGCGCTCGATAGACCCGGAGGAGTGCGGTGGAATTGCATCGCGACCGCATGCAGGGTTCTACGTAGCTAAAAACAGATAGCACCGAGCATAAATGGCTCAGGCCCGAATCAAACGGGCTGCTCCTGCGTCAATCCGGAGATGCATCTGGTCCAAGAAATGCAGGTGTGAACCATCCACCACCGAGCATTCCTTGACTTGGATACAAGCTTGATTTGGTGTAGATATTTCCTTTTAAGTTGGGGTTCATAAAATAAAAAGAGAGAGACATCACTGTGATTGTTGTGAGCGCATCACGACCGCACGCTGGGTTCTATATATGCAGCTAAAAAAAATGACCTTGCCCCTGATGACGAATGGCTCGAGCCCGAATCGAACAGGCTCCTCCTGCGTAAATCCTTGATACATGAATCAAGGAATGGAGGTGTGGACCATCCACCACTGAACCTTCCTTGCTTTGGATACACAAATTTCATTATTTGAGTTGTAGTTCATAAACATGGCGAAGAAGAAGAAATCGCCGTGAGTGTTATGAGCGCTCACTCGAACCGGAGGAGCGTGGTGAAATTGTATCAAAAACGCACGCCGGGTTCTACGCAGCTAAAAAAACGTACCCTATTAACGGATGACTCAGGCCCGAATAGAACGGGCTCTTCCTGCGTAATTTGACAGAAATGAACCAAGGAATGCAGGTGTGGACCATCCACCATCGAGCCTTCCTTGCTTTGGATGCAACCTTGATTAGTGTAAATACTGATACCCCATTGAGTTGTGGTCCATAAACAAGGAAGAGAAGAAATTGATGTGGTTGTTGTATTCCAGGTGGAGCCCTCACTCGAACCGAGGAGTGCGGTGGAATTGTATCATGACCGCACGCTGGGTTCCACACAGCTAAAAAAGACACTGCACCTAATGAACGGCTCGGACCCGAATCGAACAGGCTCCTCCTGCTTAATTCACATATCTAATGAACCAAGGAATGCATGTGTGGACCCTTCCTTGCTATAGATAAAAGCTTGATTGGTGTAGAGACTAATTCCTTTTTGAGTTGGGTTCATAAAAGAAAGAGAGAAACATCGCTGTGATTGTTGGATAGAACCAGAGGAGCACGGTGGAATTATATCATGACCGCACGCCGGGTTCTACAAATACTAAGTACAATGCGCAGGCGGCTGCTAAAAAGATGTACCATATCGATGAATGGCTCGGGCCCGGCTCGAACGGGCTCCTTCTGCGTAATTTGACACGAAAGAGACAAATAAGGAATGCAGGTGTGGGCCATCCACCACCGAGCCTTCCTTGCTTTGGATGCAACCTTGATTGGTGTAGATACTAAATTCCTTTTGCGTCATTTTGGTTCACAAAAAAAGAAGAAATCACCGTGATTGTTGTGAGCTCTCACTCAAACCGGAGGAGCGCGGTGGAATTACATGACTGCGCGCCGGGTTCTACGCAGCTAAAAAAAAAATTAGCGACAATGAACGGCTCAGGCCCGAATCGCAAGGGATCCTCCTGCGTAAATCCACAGGGTGGAAATTTAAGGAATGGCACGTGTGGACCATCCACCACTGACACTGGGGGGCAAAAGCCGACGCACCTGGGATGCAGGTGCGTCTGACGTATTTCCTGCCTTTGTGCACAAAGAAAATAAAGGCGATGATTCCTTTATTTCCTTTGTGCGCAATGGGTTTATTACACCTGCGAAGGACATGCGTCAGACTCACCTGGAATCCAGGTTCGTCGGCTTTTGCCCCCGGTGTGAGCCTTCCTTGCTTTGGATATACGCTTGATTGGTGTAGATAATAATTCACTCGAACGAGGTGGAATTGCCCCACGACCGCACACCTGGTTTTAAATTGCGCAGACGGCAGCTTGAAAAAACAAAGAAGAACGTGCATTGCTAGCCATGGCTCAGGCCCGACTCGAACAGGCTCCTCCTGCATAACAATCATTCCTTCTCAAGGACTCTACTAAATCTAATATTATCTCTTTTATGATACTTAAAAAAGTGGAGCTATCTAAACGGCCCACTCAATCCATTCATCGACATCTGATTGGCTGCTCATCAGATTTAGTGGGTCGTTTAGGTAGCCACACTTTTCTAAGTATCTTAAAAGAGATAATATTAGATTTAGTAGAGTCCTATGCAGTTGTGGACCATCCACCACCGAGCCTATTCCTTGCCTTGGATACAAGCTTGATTGGTGTAGAGACTAATTTCCTTTTGCGTTGTGGTTCATAAAATCAATAAAAAGGAAGAGAGCAAACATTGCCGTGAGTGTTGTGAGTGCTTACTCGAACCGGAGGAGCCCGGTGGAATTGTGGGTTCTACCATGCGCAGGCGGCAGCTAAAAGAAAAGAACGTGAATTGCCGACCATGGCTCAGGCCTGAATGGAACGGGCTCCTCCTGCGTAATTCTCATACCTCATGAATGTACAAGGAATGCAGGTGTGGACAATCCACCACCGAGTCTTCCTCGCTTTGAATAAATGCTTGATTGGTGTGAATATTTTTGAGTTGTGGTTCATAAGAGAGAAACATCGCTGTGATTATTGTGAGCGCGGATAGAACCGGAGGAGCGCGGTGGAATTAGATCACGACCGCATGGGTTCTACGACGTGCAGGCGGCAGCTAAAAAAGAAAAAGAAAAATACCAACGAATATTCCAATGGCTCCGGCCCGAATCGAACGGGCCCTCCTGCGTAAATCCCATACGTTGTGAGCCAAGGAATGCAGGTGTGAACCATCCACCACCGAGCCTTCCTTGCTTTGGATGCATGCTTGATTGGTGTGAATATTTGAGTTGTGGTTCATAAAAAAGAAGGAAGACAGAAACATGGCTGTGATTCTCGTGGGTGCTCACTCGAACTGGAGGAGCGCGGTGGAATTGTGGGTTCTACGACGCGCAGGCGGCAGTTGAAATAAATAAATAAAACTCACGTCCTTAAACGAACGGCTCGGGCCCGAATCGAACGAGCTCCTCCTGGTAAATTCACGGAAACGATTTTAAGGAATGCAGGTGTGGGTCATCCACCACCGAGCCTTCCTTGCTTTGGATGCAACCTTGATTAGTTTAGATACTCACTGCGTTCCGGCCCGTTGTAGCCGAACCCGGCTAGGGTTCGGCTACAGGTGTCTACGTATTCTTACGTGACGTAGACGTGATGTAGACGCATGTAGACGCATAACCGCATGTATCTACGTCACGTAAGAATACATAGACACATGTAGCCGATGTTCGGCTATACGGGGCCGGAACGCAGTGACTAATTCCCTTTTGAGTTTTGGTTCATACAAGTAATAAAAAGAAACGAAGAATCACAGCGATGTTGTGAGCGCTCGCTAGAACCGCGCATGGTGGGATTCCATTGCGACCTGACAGATCTTATGTTGGAGATCCTGGAGCACGAAGACCTGGCTGTGGTATTATATATAATGCGCATGGGCGAGAAAGAGAGAAAGAGAGAGAATGCTGACATTTAATCCATCAACGCTCGCCCGAAAGTGGGTGACTTTCCATAAGCATAGATAAATCGTACAGAGTATTTACAAGCCTTGCCGAGGCAGGTGTCAGGACCACATCAGCTCGGAGACACGAAAACGTACAAGATTTATTCCAAGTCTATTCGAATCTGTTCGAGGGGTAAGGACCCCCCCTACAGATTTTATTAGATGAATAAACTGTTTTTGGTGGATGATGGGCACTTCGTGCCTTCCCTTGGAATGGTAAAGCAGCCAAATTAATTCCCAACACCTGAACAACCTCCTTTTTGCTGCTGGACTCGGCCCCAGCCCTTCGGCGACCATGAACGGAACTTTGATTTTTAAATTCTTTCTTATGGGAATAAACACCGTCTACAGAATGTTTGAATATTTCCTGCAGTGATCCCATCGCTGGCACCTTCAAACAAGCTCGGGGAGTATTCTATGCTTATGGAAAGTCACCCAGTGGTTGTATTCCTTGCCGTACAGTATTTAATGAGCCCGATGCCGCTCCCAGCAAGCTGCCAGTAATGATGAGCTCAGTGCCGGCATTCATAATCGATAATCCTTGCGTTCCGGGAGGTGTCAAACTAAATCCAGCGGAAAGTTAACAGCAAAATTGACCCGCATGAACGACGTGGAACTGGGGTCCGGACACGAGTTGATTATTTACTGGTCTGACTCCGAGGTTATTGAGAACGTCTAGTCGGAAATAAGTGGAAGGTGTCCGGGGATTTTGAGTTGGATAATGCATAAAACGAGAGAAGGTTGGGCACGACTTGATATTCGATTTTCAATTAAGCACGGCGTTCATGCGAGCCCATGGAGGTATGCATATGTGGATACTGTATTATTTCATTCAATTCGACAGGGGGGGTGACACGTGACATCCGGAACCTATTCGACACTTCGACACCGCCCAGGTTGGAGCGTGACAGCCCCCAAAAATTCGACATGACCCCGACTTGATACAGGAATATCATGAAGTGGTCTGGTTCTTTTTGCAGAAGCACAAAAAGCCAGGCAAACATTGGTTTAAATTAATTGCTTTGGGTATGGTTCCCCCAGTGATTTTGTTGAATTTTGACTGATATGAAGCCAAAATTTGCAAAAGATAA